GTGTAAGGCTCGATGGAATCTGCCGGTCTCAAATGCAGGATTCGTTGAATTTGGGCAGCTTCTCGATTTGGACGCCAACGATGCGCAGGACCCGCTGGGAGGCGAAAATGCCAGCGCGTATGCAATAGTCGACCGGCATGTTCTGCACCAGCTGCGAGAGGTAGCCGCCCACAAAGGCGTCGCCGCAGCCGTTGGTGTCGATGACCGCCTTCTTATCGATCGGCGGCACGGGATACTGGAGCACCTTGTCGTTGTCCTGGAAGCAGAGCACCGGACAGACGGAATCGGTGATCAGGACAATGCGCGGCCGACAGTTATCCTTGGGAAGGCTTTGCAGCCGACGCCCCACCTCGAATATGTCCGTGGTGTTCCAATCGTGCGTATTGGCGTAGGCCAAGGCCTCCAGCTTGTTGCCAATGATCATGTCGCAGTAGGGCAAGATCTCGTCCAGATGATTCTTGTGCGAACGGAGCACGAATACTGCGCTGAAATTGAGCACAAAGAAGCGGTTCGTCTGGCTCGCGAGCTTGGCGATGCGGAGCACGCTCTCCGGGCTGACGGCTATGAAAAAGCCGGTGGCATAGAAATACTTGGCATTATCCAGGAGGCACACATTCTCCTCAATATCCAGCCACTCCGTGGTGAAGAGTGCCGCGGCGCCGAGATTGGCCACCACGGATCGATCAGTGCCCGACAGGATGACTGCGCAGGTGCCAGTCGGCACATCATCCTTGATTTGGTAGCGGGTCTCGACGCCATCGACTAGCGCTCTCTTGGCTATCGTGTCGCCAAACTTATCCCTGCCCACAGCCCCGAAGAACGCCGACCGAAAAGGCTTGCCCACGATCCACTGGAAGATGCGCATCGAGTTCTGGCAGGCGCCGCCCGCCGAGTAGTGCACAAACTCCTGGTTCGTCAGCTCCTCGAACAGTGGCATGTGGCTGTCCTCGGCTATGATTGCTGCATTCGAACGCAGGTCATACTTCTCGATCAGCACGGTGTCCTCCACGGTGGTGGTGATGTCCAGCAGCGGATTGCCAAAGCCAACAAGCACGCACTCCGGTAGATCCATTGGTTCCTTCGAGCCGCCCTTGATTGTTGCGTAAATGTCCTTCGAGGTCTTGCCAATGGCAGCTGTTCCCATCAAACTACTGCCCCCCTTGATGAGATAGCTGCTCCAGTGCTTGCCCTGCTTGGCTGCTGGTACTCTACGCAATCCGCGCAAAACTAGATTGTTCACAAAGTATCCGCGCAAACGTCTCATTGTCCTACCTTCTCACAGCAACAAAACAATATTTAGCACATTTCTTTTTTTACGAAATCAAAAGCGGAAAGAAAACACGAATTCGGATCTACCGAGCGAGCTGCCAGCCAACAGACGATTAAAACACTTCTAGCCCAGCATTGATGGAAAATACAAATGTTGTTTTATGGACAGGAAAAACCCTTTTAAAAAGCTAACTGGATAGATTTGTATATTTATATTCATATATACGCAAAAATATATAATGAGATAATGGAGCGAAAGTATAATTTATAAAATTTTTGGCTCTAGAAAAAGTTTTAATAATCCTAGTTTACCATAAATAACAAGTATGAAGGCTCTAGTCGGGACTGCTCGACTAGGAGATGCCCTGAACCCTCCAAGCTGATGTTCGAATCATTCTGCACTTCTTTTATGCACACATACATACACATGCATCCACAGGCAAGTATAAGCACGCGCTCTGCTAACTGCGCAGTAAGCAGCGACTGTGCTTGGCCTGCGCTGCAGTGTGTGAGAATTTTATAAAGCTTAAATGTGTGTATATTCCAAATACCGTTTTTTTTTTTTTTTTTAATTTGGTGCGCTGTATCCGAAATCTGTAAATTTCAAAATCATTGTATCCATAAAATATATATAGGCAATGAATCTGAACTCTCCAGGTCTAATAGTATTCAAATGAAGCTGAAAAAACGAAATAAATGTATCGAATAATCTCGATATCGGTATAGATATCGGTTACTGCCTATGGTATCGATATCGGTTACTGCCTATGGTATCGATATCGGTTACTGCCTATGGTATACAGGAGTATGCATGCAAAATTTCAGCTCTCTACTTCTTATGTCTTCAGGGATTGACGCACTCATTCCGACGGACGGACAGGCAGACGGACAAGGCTAAATCAGCTCGTCGTCCTAATCAAGAATGCCACGCCTCCTTCTGCCTGCTACATACTTCTCACAAACCTATCATACACTGATTTCCCATTGAAAATGGGTTTAGGGTATAAAAAGATCATTGAGTGAAGCTATCATTCAATAGATTTTATGTGATAATTCCCTTTAGTGAAACTGTTATATAGGGTATAAGTTATTCTTTTAGGTGATTTTGCTTGGTTTATAAATTTTATGCATGTTTATTGATTCACATTTCATTTTATTCAACTTTGCTACAGGTTCTGGCGCACTTTAATTAAATTATTTAAAAATTTTCAGCACATTTTCATCTTCCACTTAAATTCCTTACAGGGTATATCCTAGTCGTGGCTGTACTATGCAGCAGCTTTAATTACCCGCATAAATCAATCATGTTATATTAATGGTCGGTCCATTTAATATGCTATTAATTACATTTACATTTTGTCGTGCATTTTTATATGTAATTTAAGTGCCATTACGACGGGCACGTAGTCCAAGCGGGCGGGGTGGGGTGGTCTCTGCTGGTGGTTGGGTGTTTCTGGCTGCCGACGAGGTGTGAGCTGTTTTATTTTCATTCGCTTAAGGGGGCCAGTGTGGAGTGGGGTGGGTAGGTGGGTGGGCTGTTGGTATTGCTGGTGGGGCAGGGAATCGGACGTCATAATAAAAAAATACCTCTTGTCAGCTGGCAGCGCGTTGCGCTTGACGAGCTGAGGACGCAGTTGCGGCCACCCGGAACGTCCTTGCCACGAGTGGGGGCTGTTTGCCGGTTGGAAACAATGGCATTTGCAGTGCTTTGCACAAGTTGCCTCGCATAAATATTAATTTTTATGCAACAAAAGCAGCCGCAGCAACAGCAACAACAACAGCAGCAGCAGCAGCAGTAGCCGTGCAGCCGTACAGCAATGCAACTGAATGGAACAACAAGAACAACAACAATGGCAATGGCAGCAGCAGCTAACATAACAATAGCAACAAGCGTCGCTTATCGCCTGCAAGCGCCGCAAAGAATGCAAGCGGTTTTTCACTTTGCTGCTGCTTCAGTTATGCAGATACCCTGTACCTAGTTAAGCACTTGAAATGAAACAGGCCGTACTCGCCTTGGGAAAAATTTGAGCTCCAATAAGTTGAAGAAAAAATATTGTTTTTTTAAACGTACAAATTTTTAAATAGACAAATTAACAGTAACTTATAAAATTCTTATTATAATTAAAAATACAAAATTAAATAACATAAAATATACAAAATCTCTGATACAAAAACAAAATTACATTAAATTTATTTTATTTTTCTATTTTCCTTTTTAAAATTAATTATCACTTAAATATTTGACCAATACTTAAATTTAAAAAAATATGTATATACATATTTAAATTTACATAATAAATTCAAAAATTCCAGCTAAATTTGTGAAAATGAAAATCACTTAAGTCAAACTCTTTCTACATTTATATTCCAAGTCTGTCAGCTTAAAGAATTCACAGTTGAGAGATTTCCAGGATATGAGTGTGCTGTTAATACCTGTTCTTAGATTGTCGCTTCCTGGGTAAGTTCTTGCTTATGTGCGAACATTATTCTTCGTCGTGTGCCTTTAGTAGACCGCAGCAGCAGAGGCGATGGGGGCGGAGGCGGCGAAGCCAGTGAAGAAGGAGGCAACACCAGTTGTTCGGGAAGCCGAGGATGGGCGCGGCTGATGCTGATCTGTAGCTGGAGCTCGACCGCAGCGGCAATGCAGCTGCATAATGTGGCATGTGGTTAGCATTAAAAATGATATGCAACATGAGCTGCAGCTGCAGCTGCTTGAGCGCGGGGCTTGGGGTTGGCGGTTGCATTTTGAGGTGCCGGCAGTCACTGACAGCCGCATGGCAATTATAATCCACACAAACAGACGCGAGCAGCCGCTGAGCCACTCACACCCACCGAAACACTGGCACGCACAGCCAGCCGAGCGAATGTGGCTTAAGTGTGTTAACTGTAGTTCAGGGTGTCAAGCGGGCGGGGTGGGATTTAGGGTCCACACTGGGTGTCCGTAAGCAGCAGCAGCAGCAGCGGCAGCAGCTGCCACTGGCACACAATGAACACATCAACATGACACTGTCGGCCTGACAAAAGCTTAGCAGCCAGCTGAGTGCCAGTCAGCCCCAAGCAAAAATAAAAAAAAGATTAAAAAAAAAAAAAAAAAAACAAAAAATTACAGAAAAAAGTAGAAAATACCAAAAAGCAAAAATGAAAACAAGAGACCAAGTCCATTCGCATATGTGCAGCACATGACTTCAGCTCCCTCCAGCTTCAGCCGCCTTCTGGGAGACATTCACACGCTTGACGCGTTTTTGATATCCGCTTCCGCTTTCGCCTGCGCTGCTGCCTGGGCAACAGAGATTGTTAGGTAACAAGCTTTTTATGTGATTACCTTTACCTTCTGTTAGTTTTACTATAATTTGGCCTTTACTTTTAACGAGATTGTTGCCAGATTCTCATACACGACAGCACGAGTACATCCTCTGGAACTGAAACTGAAACTGAAGCTGAAACGTGCCGCATTCAAGCATAAAATGCAGGATGTTCCTGTCCACCACTGCTCGCACTCGCATTCCCATTCACATTCATTCGGATGAGCTTGAGTACTCGGATGCGTGTACGACTACATGTACTCGCATTTCCATTGTGCTGCATCTGCTGCTCATTTCCCCATAAGAGCACAATGCCAAAAGTACCCTAGTTATAACAATAAATGCGCAGCTTTCGGGCTTTCAAAAGGTATTAGGTTCGAGGATACAGTGACTGTTCTTAGTATTTAACTAGGCCTTTACACACAAATGATTTGAGATTCAGGACATTCGACGACTCGTGCTTTATTAAAACATTAAATTCGAAATTTATAATACAAATCCGCTAAGATACATTGTAGGCTCTATATGCTGTCTGGATTGTCAGGTCTTAAAAACACCTAGAAAACGATAAGTCTTAGTTTAAGATTTCATCAAAAACGCATTCAACTTGCCGGCAATGAGCGATCCAAGTTAACCTTGGGTAGGAACAGGCGGCATACCATAAAGATGATGCTTATTCCTATAGTGATTGTATTTACCGACCACCGAAAGATTTTCAGGTAATCTACCATTGTTTTTCCTTTTTATTGATTGCTATACGAAATTAAAAGTTTTCTTTCGATCTCAATATGCTAGCATTCTCTAGGCTCTGTTGATTTTCCATTCTGTTTTACAAAAGTGTATAAAGTGCGAAAATATATCGATTGGAATGTCAAATATAGGAATGGAAATCGAGCTCTATTTTATTCATTGAATTCTCTTGGCGATCCAAGTAGGCTATTAAATTTTGAAAAACTTTCATGCATTGCTTTACCTTTCAATATTCATTTTCGCCATTTCACACTCGGGAAACGTGTTGAAAAGACTTTCTAAATAAAAAAAAAATTAATTAATTAAATCTACAATCGAAATTGAATTTTTTTTTTTTTTTTTCTTTCGTGCAAGAATCGCGAATAGAGCTTTGTTTAGAAATATCGATTTGAATCGAGTTTGCATTGGTTAATCATGTCGCACTACGCGCCGTTCATCAAGCCCTACATCGAGTACAATCAGTTCGGCTGGGGGCCCTGCGATGTGTCGGATATGGAGGTGCCGTATCAGCCCTTCTGCAAGAGCGACCGCCTGGGCAAGATCAGCGACTGGATGCTGCCGGTGCAGGACAAGAAGTACACTAACAAGTACGCCTCGACCTTTGGCAGCAACAACAGCCAGTACGCCTACTTCCACGAGGACGACGACGCCACCTTTCACCTGGTGGATGGGGGCAATCCGCGCGCCCTGAAGCCCTATCAGCGCAATCGCTATCGCCCCAATCAGCGCAACAATGTGCGGCTCCATGGCCGGTATGTGCGTGGCAATGCGATGATTGGTGTGGGTCAGGGTGGTATCGGTGGCTCTGGTGGTGCTGGTGCGGGCAACAAATACGGCAAGGGGCGCGACATGCGGCGTGGCTATGCGGGTCGCCGCTTCATGCGCAACGCCCCGGTGCGTCTGCGCGAGAGCTCCGTGCTTGTGCGTTCCGACTGGGTCTCGATAGAGGAGATCGACTTCCCTCGACTGCTCAAGCTCTCGCTGCCCAACATTAAGGATGGCATCGACATCGTCACCTGCGGCGCCCTGGAGTACTACGACAAGCAGTGCGACCGCATCAACGTTAAGAACGAGCGGCCGCTGCAGAAGGTCGATCGCATCATCAATGTGCCGGGCACCATAGACGACCCGGTCATCCGGCGCCTGTCCAAGACGATGGGCAACGTGTTCGCCACGGATGACATCATCGCCACGCTGATGTGCTGCACGCGCTCCAACTACTCCTGGGACATTGTCATCGAGAAGCTGGGCACTAAGGTCTTTCTGGACAAGCGCGACAATGCGCAGTTCGATCTGCTGACGGTGAACGAGACGGCCCTGGAGCCGCCGCAGGATAGCGAGGGCTCCATCAATTCGCCGCAGAGCCTCTCCCTGGAGGCCACACTCATCAATCACAACTTCAGCCAGCAGGTGCTCAAGATTGGCGACCAGGAGCCGAAGCACAAGTTCGAGGAGCCAAACCCCTTCGAGGAGCCCGGCGTGGAGCTAGCCTCCGTCGCCTATCGCTACAAGCAATGGCAGCTGGGCGACGATGTCGTCCTCATTGCTCGCTGCAAACACAACGGCGTCATCAAGTCGCCCAGTGGCGAGCTACAGTTCGTCTCCATCAAGGCGCTCAACGAGTGGGACTCGAAGGCGGCCAACAGTGTCGAGTGGCGCCAAAAGCTGGACAGCCAGCGCGGAGCCGTGCTCGCCTCGGAGCTCCGCAACAATGCCTGCAAGCTGGCCAAGTGGACCGTGGAGGCGGTTCTCGCCGGCTCCGATCAGCTCAAGCTGGGCTATGTCTCGCGCGTCAATCGTAAGTCATCCAAAAATCTCAATCTCATATGGTCTATATATTTATATAATCTTAATTGCAGGCAACGATCATCTGCGCCACGTTATTCTGGGCCTACAGCAGTTCAAGCCTCAGGAATTCGCCACACAAATCAATCTGAATATGGACAATGCTTGGGGCGTGCTGCGCTGCCTGGTCGACATTGTGCTCAAGCAGCCGGATGGCAAATATTTGATCATGAAGGATCCCAACAAGCCCATGATACGCCTGTACGACATACCCGAAAATGCATTCGACTCGGACGGCAACGAGGATGAGGAGACTAGCGAGGACAGACCTTTCCTAAAGTCCATGGCCAATTAAATTTACGATTTGTTTCAATTTTGCATACACATGCATATATTTGTATTGTATAAATAGCTTTTCGCTTGAAAAATAAATCAATGTTAGGCACAGCGAAAATTCCTGGCTTATGAAAACAGTCCAGTCCGAAATAGAAGTAAGATTCGGCTTGTAAGGCAATGTTAGATTATTGTTATGCCTGGCACCCATTGAAAATGATAATCAGGGCGTGATGGTTATGTTAAATGTATGTGACAGGCAGAAGGAGACTTAACAAGCCCCAAAATTTTTTTCTATATAAGCATTTCCTTTAAGTGTTTGCTCTAAATATTTACTCTAAATATTTACTCTAAATATTTACTCTAAATATTTACTCTAAATATTTACTCTAAATATTTACTCTAAATATTTACTCTAAATATTTACTCTAAATATTTACTCTAAATATTTACTCTAAATATTTCCCCTAAATATTTCCCCTAAATATTTCCCCTAAATATTTCCTGTAAGTATTTCCTCCATGTCTTTACTTCTCTGCTGATGGATCATTGAATACTTACACACTTTTCACACACTTCAGCTTACTTCACATCACTGCACGACTGAACTTCACCAGGCCTCTGACGACTGAAGAAATGCTGCAGCTGCTGCCTTTTATATAAGGCTTCCTTCTTCCACTCATACACTCAGTCTCGCTCAAATGTTGAGCCCAGTGCCTGAGAGAGATCGTTGCAGTCGAGCTTCAAGCGACCAATGGGAACACTCTCTGGTGCTGCCAGCATTCGAGCTTCGTCTTACTCAAATATAAATACCAAATGAATACTGCTGTATACATATAGACAACTTAAATGATGTTCTGCTGTTCTTTGTAGTAATTTGACGGCTACGCTTGTATAACCAACAAATTGCACTATTAGAAGGGGCTGAATAAACGAATAAAAAAGTTGTATTATTTAACCAACTGAATCTCTTCAACCCAGCATAGCATAAAGAGTCTAAAAATATGTGTATGTATATTCATTCATTCGAAATGCAACTAATCAATGGATAGTGTTTAGGATATTTGAATACCACGTATGAATATATGCAGATATACATATATTCAGGTTTCTGTTATTGTTACTGCTGTGAGCGTCTGGCTTGACTGATAGCGACCCTCGAGCTGTGAATCCAGATAAATGACCTCCTGACAGCAGCAAACAACAGGAATGGCAAATGCGCTTGACTGGTGCAGAACAATGGATATAAATACAATTTAAATTGAGTTTTTGACCAAGCGGACACAGATACACACACAGACACACACACACTCACGCACAACATAACATATGTTGCCTTATGCACATGTGTAGAGCTCAGCATTCCCCTGCACAGACAGACAGACATGCTGGAGCCCCTCGAGATGTGACAAGAGTCACAGTTATTTGATGATAACATGTCCGCATCAATCATTGCGGTTCTGCATACAAAGAAATACGAAATGAAACCAAGCTAAATAAATGTACACTGTCAAGTGTAGTAGTGTGTGTGTTTGTGTATTTGAATGACATTTGACATTCTCACACACACACACACACACCCACACACAGACACAGCGAGTAATTGAACTCAGGACATTCGACTGCTGTTCAGCTCCGCTCTGCCTTAGGCCACAATAAATCACAAAATGGCATCAATCAATGCAAATTTCGTAGCAATTTCATTAGGCAGAAGTAAAAGAATTGAGCTGTGTTGAAATTTCAATTGAATTTCACTATTTAACTTGGCGCCAAATCAAATCGCATTCAAATTAACAGCCTAATTGATAGCCAGCCCTTGGGAGCGCAGCTTTTGTGCCGTAAACTAAATTGCCGAATTCGATTCGTTTTTAACAAAACAATAATAAAGGGAAGAACGAAAGAAAAACATAAACAGAAACATTTAACTGAGCGACCGGCTTGTTATTCAATTTCATTTCAAATATTTAATTGTTTGTGAAAATGCCCATTGGCAAAAAAAAAAATTTTATTCGTTTTGTAATTACAAAACAGATTTAGTAGCTGTCAGATATTTTAATTAATCTGTCTGCAGTTAATTAGTATTGTGCTTTACATTCAATAGGATTTGGCTGTGATTTTTGTTATATGTATTAATATGATATTATTATATGAAATTTATAGAGTGCAGCTATGCTGATTGAGTATGTGATTTGAATAAAATAATAATAGTCAATGCGTCTTATGCATGACTCAAATAACAAAAACAATTGCAATTGAAGTTTGCAGCAGACACTTGGCTGTGCGTATACTAAGCATACGCACTGCTAGTCCGAACAATGTCAGAACAGGCAATCTTAAAGCTAACTTAGCCCGCAGCGGCTCTGGGCAAAATCAGACAATTTTCAATGGACTCTCTCAGCACAAGCGGGGCCATATTAAGCATACGCAGTGCTGGCTTTTGTTTGAGAGAGGGAAGAGCATATGAAACAAAATGTATAAAAAGTAAAAGTAAAAAGACATAAGTGTTATTCAATTAAAACATTTTGTTTGCTAAATCAACATGTCCGGAGCAACTGCAAAATGACTTTTGTTGATGGTTGCAAGCTTAGTTGTGTGTGTGTGTGTGTGGATGTGTGTGTGTGTGTGTGTGGCTGCCCCATAGCAAAGTTGCGCGCTTGGTTAGCTGCCCCCACCCGCCCCGCACCGCTCTGTTGGCCATGGCAGGACTGCTGCATTTCAAGGTCTGCGCTTGGCTAACCACGCCGTTGAAAGGCGTTTAACAAACTGCGCACTTGGCACTGCGGCCTGTGGCAACTCTGAAGCCAGCTCAAGTGCCGCCTCAATGCGAAACTTTGTGTGCATTTTAACGCACAGGCAGGTCCAAAGCAGGGGCTGCGCCACTCAACTGCCGGCATTTGCATATGGAACCGCAAGCTCGACGCCCGACGCCCGACGCCCGACGTCGACCCACATCGGGCGAGCGGCGGCGCCGGAGTGCGGCATGAAAAGTTATGCGTTGAATGAGGGCGACAAATTGCAAATTAAACTCTTTTGCATTTTACACACATGAAACTAGTTGTACAAAATAAAAATGAAAATAAAAATGCGCACAACAACTTTTGCCCACAACTGTAAATTGAATTTGATTTGAATTCAGCCAACGGCCACACGCGCAGCCCTCCCGACTGCAGGAATTTAAGCCAGGGGCCATTTAACCGTTTAAGTAACAAATCTCTAAAATGTCAAAATCAAGCTGCCTACCCCAGCCCCCAACCCCCAGCCCCCAGCTCAGCTAAAGCCCAGGAAAAAAGCCCTTTGGCGCACTGCTCCGGCTAAATTTGAAAAAGAGTTTCGAATCAGTTGAATGTAAACTTTCTGAATCTCTCTCTCTCTCTCTCTCTCTCTCTCTCTCTGTTTCGCTGCTTCTCTGGCATTTGCTTTGCCTTTTGGCATATTTAATTTGGCGACTTCTGTCAGGCTTTCGCTCTGCTTCTTTTTTTTGTATTTTCTGCCCAAGACATTGGCCCTGCCAATTTGTCCATGCGCTCGCAACTTTTCAAACGCAGCTCATTTAAATATAATTTGTCACAAAAAAAAACTTTTTTACTTCCCAAAAGGTCAGCTGCACAAGTATGAGGTGTAGCAGCGTTAGGCGTGGCACTTGGCCTTGGTAAATTGTTGATAGACATTGGAAGCAATGGACACCAATTGGTACGGAAAGTGGCCTAAGGTATTTGACGGTTTTGCCTAATGATTGATATTGCTGTTTAGCTTAAAATAAAGTTAATAATAGCTATGGGATTTTGAGAAAGATTTGCATTTCTATATATAAATTGTCCCATATAAATAAAAAATAAATAAATAAATATAAATATATATATATATATATATATATAATTCTAAATACATAATAACATCCATTTCATTTTAATTACATTTGATATATACAAATTTGTAGATTTTATATACATTTTAAGTTTTTTATACATCCATAAAAGAATTGCTAAAAGAAAAAGCTAAATATCCGCCTCTTCATCTTCTCTCTGCCTCCTGTGAGAATTGAACTCACGACCCCTGGTTTACAAGACCAGTGCTCTGCCACTGAGCTAAAGAGGCTGCTTGCCCATGGTCGCCGAATACCTCGACAAATTCTCACTGCGCTGACAATCCATCAGCGATAGCTGATATAAATACTTATAAGTGATACGAGCTCTGAAACAATTGTTTGAACAGTTGTTTTCCAAGATAGCACGCAGCATATGTAACTAAAGATAAAACATGCGCTTGCCATTTAAGGAAATTAATGAAGATAGCGAGACGGCATTTATTGAACACAAATGTTTCATAAACTGCAAATGAACCTTAAATATCAGCCATGATTGATTGAAGCTTCAGCTGAGACACAATTTGAAATCCAAATCGAGTGTGAAATAGTTTAAATTAATGAATTGATCAACATTTAACTGCCGATCATCTATCGATTGATATATTGATAATTAAAAACAAGTAAGAAAACTCTAGTCGAGACTGCTCCACTAGGAGATATTCTGATCACTCTGCAGTTCTTTTCGGCACACATACATACACACGCACGTATTAGAACGCGCTCTGCTAACTGCGCAGTAAGCAGCGACTGCGCTTGGGCAGCGCTGCAGTGTAGGCAACATCATAACAATTTATTTGTTGAATAATAAAATAATTTCTAGATGTACAATCTTAATGCAACTTTCAAAACATAATCATAATGTTATATACATATAAGTCTACATATTAAATTTGCAGGCTCCAGCTCTAAAGGTGTAGGAGATATAATTAAATAACTAGCTTTCGATAAGGTTTTTGATCGATAATAAAATATCGGGAGTAGTTATCGATATATAGAGAAAAACTTGATATGCGCGTGATATACACGGACCTAGGAAAAAAAAATTTTAACTCTCGAGCTCTTATATCTTCTGAGATCGACGCGTTCATACATACGGACGGATGGACGGACGGACGGACAGACAGACGGACGGACATACAGACAGACGGACAGGGCCAAATCGACTCAGCTCGTCGCCCTGATCTAGAATATATATACTTTGTGGGGTCTGCCACGCCTCCTGTCTCCTCCTGCCTGTTACATACA